CCATTCCATTCTCTAATGCATATTCTTCTGGGGAATTTGATTTATTAGCAGGCATGCAAATGATTTTTGCCAAGTCTTCCAAATAGCAGAGAAAATGTTTATTCAGTGGCAACTAAACTGAATGCTGCTGAAAATCAGTCCTATTTTTTTCTAAGTATATTTTAGGTCACCAATACTTGTTTCAACCTTGTACTGGCTCAGAATAGGTGATCTGGCACCGAAATGCCTGGGTTGAAATACTGTTTCTACCACCGATTAGCCATGTTTCCTTGGGTAAATAATTTAACCACTGTCCTCCATTTTCCTCTGTTTATCCTGCGGTTAATAGTATCAAATAGTATAGGAAACTGGGAGTGATGACTCATGCCCGTAATCCCAGCACTTTGAGAAGCTGAGGCTGAGGATTGCTTGAGGCTGGAATTCAAGATCAGCCTGATTAAGAGTGAAATCCTATCTCTCAAAAATAAAAAAATAAAAAGAAAAGGAAAAATTGGCTAGTTATGCTGGTGCACACCTGCAGTCCTAGCTACTCAGGAGGCTGAGGCAGGATCCCTTGAGCCCAGGAGTTTGAGGTTGTTCTGAACTATGATCACATTGTTGCCCTCAGTCTCTGGGTAATAGAGTGAGACCCTGTCTCAAAGAAAAAAAAAAGTACAGAGTATTTTTCAGGATCAAATAAATTAATACATGTAAAGCACTGAGAACATAAGCACCCAATAACATACACCTGTTGTCTTAGTACAGGTGGTGTTGCACACAGTTTAAGAGAATTGAATTAAGTTTATTAAAAACTGAGCAGCTTTTACTTGCTTATGAGAATTACGCATTAAGGCCTTTTAAAAATAAAATTACTTTCTATCAAGCTGTATTAAAATAGCTTGCATCTTTATTTGTAAGAGGCTATTGAGTCTTTTTGTGTGTACAGTTTGCCAGAGAACTAATTTGTCATTGTCTTCTTAATGGTAAATTTTTCTCTCACATGAAGAGTAAATGGTGACTTTCCTGAGATATTGACTCAAAGGTATACATTTGTGTATCATTGTGTGTGTGTGCGTATGAAAGTGATGCAACCATTTTTTTTCTAATTATAGATATTCTAACAGAATTATTTAAAACTCTCTAGAGGTAATCAGTGTATAGGAAATTTTTAACCTCTCCCCCCCAAAAAGGACTAATCTATAGTTTACTATTTCCAACTGCTGTCAAGGTGTGAAGGTTAATGTCTAAATTATAATATGACTGAAAAAGTCAAATGAAATGTAATACAATTTTGGATAAGCAGAGGGTAATGGAAGTGATGTTCATTTCTTCTCTAAGAAAAGGGAACAATAATTAACCCAACATGCCTTCCTGTCTTTAATTGTACAAGCTTCTATAAAATGTTTGGTGGCTGTATTACTAAATTTTATGAATAGAGTTTTCAGGCTCTTTGTTCTGTGCCCCTTTAACCAGAATGTTGCCTGTGGTCCAGTGAGGAAGAAACCAGAAAAATATGACAATTTAACATAGAATTTAATTAAAAAACAGTTATGTTTGGAGCTGAAATGTTATTTCAGATTTGCAGAGCACCTTAAGTGACTACATACTTAATGCGTTACGAATAATCTTTATTTGCATCTGAAAATTAATTATGAACAAGAGCTAATAATCATTGACATGTAAGAGGAATCTGCAGGGTTCTAGCTGAGAGATTACTCCAGGAGACTAGTTGCCTCCTTCCCAGGGGTAGTGACTGAAATGTCTCCAGATACTGCTAATATTCCCGTGAGAGTGTGTGTGTGTGTGTGTGTGTGTGTGTGTGTGCGCGCATGCACAAAATTATGTCTGGTTGAGAACATTTGAACTGGAATCTGGTCCTTCACTTTGCAAATTAAGAAACTGTCTTTCTCTTGGGCAATATCCCTTTTACGCCAGACTCATTATTGCAATTTGAGGTCCCTTTCCTCTGTCAAGGCTATTGAAGGTCAAATAAATAGGAAGACAAACCTGGAATTGGAATACACAACTCCTTGAAGGATGGCTTATTTATGTCATTATGATGTCTAAAGAAATTCCTGTACTCCAAACCTGCAGAAATAAAAATTATAGTCATGGTGTTCTTACATTCTGGACTCTGGACCCCAGCTTGCTTTGTGAATATCATGGTTTTACCACAATGAGATGAGCAAATTAATCAAAGTCTGTGCTTCAACAACCTCATCCGTAAGATAACAATATTAGTACATCAAGGTAGGGATAAAGATCAGTTACTATGCATGGATTTATTATAACTTCTCAGCATGGAGCATTTGCCAAATGTGTGTTATTTATTTTGTATAGGAATAACTAAAATATTTTATTGCAAAATAAACATACAGTAAATTGTAGGGGAATGTATATGTTTATAGTAAATAACCATGAAAAATAATATTGTCTTGTAACCCCAAGGCCAACAACTCGAACTTTATAAAATGTCAGAAGCTCCCATCTGCTTCCTGTCATGCATTTCCCATATTACATGTCCCTCTCCCCGCAAAGGGAAAAAAGTACTCCTTCTTTTATTTTAATTCCACTCTTTTAAAGCTAAAAGTGAAGAATATTGATTCTCAATTTATAGCTGGCAAAAACAAATGAACAATAAATAGATGCTCTCTAGAGTGATTGCACTAGAGAGGCATTTTACATCCAAAATATCGATCGGAATCTGCATAATTGATTGTGAATTGCAGTTAAACACCTTTTTCATCACACACCTGCATACTGATAATGATTTAAAAATCTCTATAGTTTGAGTAAATACCCACACATATTCCCTCCCCCATATATGTCATGCACTCATTTGTGTGTGCAGACGCGCATACACACACACACCGATAGTTTACAGAGCACTGTAAAGTGTTGTGGTTGTTGTTCGCAGTTGGGCGTAATCAGAGTTTGCGTCAACACTCTGGGCGCCCTGTGCTTGTTCATGTCCACACACTTTAGTTCTTGAATTATACCTGGATTGGCTGGTGTGAGTATTTAAGCCAGTTGATAGACATGCAGGAACTGTCTGCTCTAAGAGTTAGCAGAAGAATTTAAGGTGTAGCATAAGAAAAGTGGACTTTAAATAAAAATGAGATGATCTTGAAAATAAAACGCTATATGAGGCAAAGGCTTGGAAAAGGTATTCAAGAACAAATTATATTTAGGCAGAATGAGCTTCATAAAATTCAGGTGAATCTAGATAATTCTTGGATTATTTTAACTTAATTGCTTACTGTTAATTAAAACATTTGGGACAATAATCCTGCATAATATTTAATTTGATATATGCTAAATACTAAATATGAGGGAAATGTTTTCCTGATTAGAGAAAAATGAGAACAACTTAATTGTATAAAATAAAGGAAAAATACCTTAGAGATTACACAGAATGAAGAATTAGCTGCGTGAATTAAACATGTGTATATAAACATGAGATTATTCTCACACTCTTTCTCTAGTAGTTAATATTAAAACAATATATTGTTATACAATATACATAAAAGGATGCTCATAAAAGGTGTGATGCACATAAAAGGATAGAAGATAAAATTTGTATGTATTTTAATCTCTATCGTTATGCACATACCGATATGTACATATCTGTATACGCATGTGTATGTATATGTATGTATGAAGACTGATAGTATTTGGAAGTCTTTCAATGTACCACATGTTGAAAAACTAGAACACTGTTAGTTTCATCACATCAAACTGTTACTTTTCTGTTATCCTGATTCTTCCTGACTTTAGAGGTAACCACTATACTGAATTTTATGATTTCCATTTTTTTAAAAAACTTTTTTAAAATTCACATTTTTCCCTAAAAGTAACATACAGTATTACTTATCTTTTCTTCTTAAGGTTTTCACAAGTATCAGTGTACTATATATATTCTATTATAACTTGATTTTTTTCCTCAAAAATTTTGCCGTTAGGAGCCAACCCTTTTGTTTTGTGTTGCTGTGGTTATTTGTACTGTTGTAAATAATCATATTGTGATAAGTACTAAAGTTGATCTCTTCTTTGGTCATCGGATGTGTGGGTTGTTCATAATATTTTTTTTGCCACTATGAGCAATGTTGTTAGAAACTATATGTCTCTTGGTGCACAAACGCAAGTTTCTCTAGCTCAGTACTTTTTTCTTTTCATGGGGCACAAAGCATCCTAGTATTTTTGTGTTACCCTTGGGTGAGAAGACAGATCTCCTTGGAGCCAGTGGTTTATCATAGAGAGGCTTTGACTAGGAGGACCTGTGTATCACAAAAACTGGTAATGCATGGGTGTGTGAAAGTTCAAAGATACATCTAATGACGTTTTCTTTTTGAAACATTGCCTGAGCGTAGATGCACTCTAGAGTGTGTTGGAGCCTATCTTCCAGCATTCTCCGGATGATGTGATGTTACTAAATGTATGTCTTGCTGATCTACTGTCTATGAATTGTACCTGTTACTGTCCTGACTTACATTTCTTTCTCCTGATAAATTTGAGCATCAACTTATGTAGGCTGTGTGCTGTGGCGTCTCTGGTTGTACCATGTGCCATTTCTTTCTAATGCATTCTCTGATTTAAAGGTGGTTTTTGTTTTCCTTTGTTCTTGTTTTGTTTTCCTTTATTCGGAGTGCTAATTGTATACTTGTTTCTGTATTTTGGAAGTACTTCCTAAATTTTGTGATTTCCCTTTTTATTTTATGTTGTCTTTGGAAATGCTAAGTTCTTAATTTTAATGTAGTTAGATTTAAAATTTTTTTTTAATGATGAGGCATAATGAACTTTTTTTTAACCTTAAGATATTATGTTATTTTATGGCTTCTATGATGCTTTTTTTTTTGTTTCTATAGACTCTTCTTGTTAAAATTACTAGATTTGCAATAGAAAACTGCATATAAGTAATGGGCGTATTTTCAGAGATCCTAGATTCCAGTTTTGATGTTCTGTTTGTTTGTTGAGTCCCGTCAGCACTGTGCTCACCCTGATGTGGATTTTCCTCCTGGCAGATGACTGTGATGAGCCTCTCGTGTCCGCCTTGCCTCGAGCATCGTTCAGTAGTTCTTCGGAGCTTTCTAGCAGCCACGGTCCAGCATTTGCAAGGCTAAATCGAAGAGATGGTAAGTCTGGATTTGTTTTTCCCTCTGAATGTTTCCTGACAAATTTCACTGGTTTTCCATTCCCCTTTAATAACATTATGTAAGTTATACATCATAAAAGGAAATAAATTTCTAAATAAGCAAATAGTTAAAAATTCACGAGATGTATATGACATCTAGTTTATGTTTAGAATGACAAAGGGATATATTCTGTTTGAAAATCCTGTATCATCATTTCAAAGTTTAAAAATTTGAGTTCCTTCAACCTGGCAAGCTTTTTGCATATCTTATAAAAACAAATTTTCTACAATAATATGTAATCATTATAGATGCAGTAGTGATGAATTCTTAATTGGCCTTCTATTTCAAATTAAACAAAGAAGTTTGCAAGGAGTAATTTAAAAAGATGCTAGTTACTCAAAACTAATAATCCCTCAATTTATTTAATTCCCAAAGTGGTGGACATTATTTTCTTTCCTGTAGAGGAATAAGAGTGTAGGTCATACTCCATTAGCATTGAAACAGTTCATAGTGTTTCCTACCTCTCAGGAAGGTTGTGTTTGATCCCTTGAATATGTTTAAAGGAAAGTGAAGATAATTGGATAGCAACTTGCGGTGGAAATAAGAAAGACTTTGAAAACACTGTGTACTTTGAGGATCATTGTGGTCACTTTTTACAACGTGCTTCGGTAGAAATTATCTGCACACATGGCACTGAGGGAAGCAGAAAACATATTTAACAACCATGAAAAACAGATACTGAGGTCACACATGGTTATGTTATTTTATATTATTAGAATTGTGCTTCGCCCATTTATCGTCCCCTTCTCTCATGCCACAGCAGTCGGCGGATTCTCTCAGTTCTACTCCCTGCTGCTGTCCTGGGTGCTGTTTTTTAATGTTTGAGCACAGTGGATGTTGTGTGTGTGTCTGTGTCTGTGTCTAGTCATGTCACACACCGTGTGTGTGTGTGTGTATGCACACGTGTGTCATAGATAGTTCTAATTACAGTGTAGATGTTTGTGTAACACCTTGACGTAATTTTATTTTAAAACTTCAACTCATCTTACTTGAAATGTCCACTGATGTGTGCTTCTCAGTCTGAAGGTGTTAATAGAAAGTAAGAACTGAGATTCTTGCATCAAATGGGACATTGAGGGGGGCACTTGAATATATTCACATAGCTAATGCTAATTTACTCCTTTTAAGTGCCTTGTCGTGAAAGCTTTGGTCATGCCAGACCATCTCTTCCTAATTTATAATTCTGAATTCCCTTATTGATCAGGCAAGTGGGCTCTTTCTTGGATTCTCTAAGGGCCATTTCAGATCCTGCACCAGGGGCTCTACCAGCAGGAATGCTGTTATCACACCCTGATCTTAGAGTCAGGTTTCCGTCCTGTACTTCTTTTTAAAGTAGGGCAGAGTCTTAACATGTAACTGTCACTTCATGTGAATAATAGAAGATTTCATAGAATGTAGTCCACTTAAAGAGATGCAATATTTAATGTACCTATTTATTTTGTTTGTTCAGGTTCAATAAATCACAAAAAATATATTATTAAGTGGATCAAATCATATTTTTCATTAATTTATATATTCATCAAGAGCCTCCATCACTGGGGCTCATTTTCATTCTTAATTCATTTCTATGGCTCTTGGTAAAACACATTATCAAACTTCATGAATCTCATTTGCATGTTAATGAAACTGAGAAACAAAACAGGACCATTTTAATTATCTTTTGCTGGTTGTCAACCCACTTGATTACATTTTTCTTTTTTATTTAGTTTTTCTTTTTTCCCTACTGATTACATAAAGTTTTCACAAAGGAACATCCAATTCTGATTGATTTATTAAAGGCTATAGTTTGTTTCTAGTATTGAAACATCCTTATAGTATTTTGATTAGGTTTGGGAATGGCATTGAGCGAAGTTAGCAGGTCATATATAAAGAAACTAAACCAGCAAATAAATATCCCAGAATCCCAGTCCAGATATGGTGATTTCTTCACTTGAAGTCAAAGAATGGACAGAAAGAAAATGAGGGAACTACCCACTTGTTTTCCATCCGTAGGCTGCAAGTGCTGTGGGCAAGACCATGAAAATGACTCGGGGCCCAGCAGTAAGGGAAGAGAATCAGGAAAATGCTACTGTTAAACAGTGATTCTATTTAGACCAGTAGGGAGGAAGACAAAATTCACTTGTTTTGAGGTACACTAATTTAATTCTGCTACGTGAGTGCTGCTGTGGGTTGAATTGTGTCCTCCAAAAGAATATGTTTGAGTCCTAACCCAGATACCTGTGAACAGGACCTTATTTATACACAGGGTCTTATTAGAGGTCATCAAGTTAAGATGAGTTAGATTAGATTAGGGTGGGCCCTACACCCACTGACTGAAGTCCTTATAAGGCCAGTGAGATTTGGGGATACCCAGACACACAGAGGATACAGAGAGAAGACCATGTGGAGACAGAAGCAGAAACTGGAGTGTTGCAGCTACAGACCCAGAAATGTCAAGGACCAGAGGCGGGGAAGAGGGTGCAGAGGATTCTCCTCTAACGCCCTCAGAGGGCCTTTCAGCACTTCCCAGCCTCAGTCTAGCCAGAATGAGAGAATTAATTGCTCTTCTTTTAAGTTGCCCAGTTTGTGATACTTTTCATGGCGGCCCTAGGAAATTAAAGTAAGTGCCATTGGGTAAATGACCTCCTTTTTATTACATGATACACCAGAGGACTATTTAAATCATTTTCAAGAAAAATGATATACTACCTGTGCGCTGTGAAGATCCACATCAGTTTGAACCTGAAAGATTTCATGGCTCAGAGAAGGTTAATCCAAATTTAATTCTAGACAACACAAACAAAACCAAATTGCTGCTAATATTGGTAATATGATGGAATCAAATATCTCTCATTCTTTTAAGCAATATTTTTATTGCTGGAGGTTGAGTACAGTTTGAATTTTAATAGACAACTTAAAGTGGAGAATATGTTGATATTTGCTATTTGTAATGGGTTCAGTGTTCAAATGGGTTTAGTGTGCCAGTTGATAGTCTAAATGTATTCCTAGGACAGAATATAAAGAAGTCTCATCTTGTAGAACTGTTCCTGAGGTTGTAATTTCATCCAAATGAAAGTCTTTATTTTCACATACTTGGGAAATCTTGGAAATGGATTGTTGCAAACCAAAATACTTGTGTATACAAGTAAAATCATACAACAGCAAATAAAATTATCTCCACAATGAAAATGAAATACTTTATGTGCGAGTGCAAATGTGTCTACACACATTATTTAATTATATAGAAGATTGTATTGCTTCCAGAGGTGACAGATCCTATGAGTTTCTCTCAATGTATTCTGGAAGATCACAGTATTTCCTGTTGCTAAAAAGTGGAATATTTGTCTGTATTTTCTAAACTACAACTGCACACTTCTACTCTAAATGCTTTTTAAGCCATGTTTTCTCCATAGCTACAAAATTTGCTCTTAAAATCTAAAAGCATCTGTCTGCAGAGAAATTAGCTTGCTTGGTTAATTGACAGACATTACGCCTCTAATAAGAATAATTACGGCTGAGCATGGTGGCTCATGCCTGCAATCCCAGTGCTTTGGGAGGCTGAGGTGGGATGATAGCTTGAGGCCAGGAATTCGAGGCCAGTTTGGACAACACAGCAAAACCGTATCACTACAAAAATTAAAAAAAATTTATCCAGGCATAGTGGTGTGAGCCCACAGTCCCAGCTATTCTGGAGACCGAAGAGGGCCAAGTGAGCCCAGAAATCCAAGGCTCCAGTGAGCACTAATCAGGCACTGCACTGCTCTAGCCTGCGTAAGAGTGAGATCCTGTCTCTGAAAAAATAAATCATAGTTATAAAATTCTATACATAATTGTTTGACAGTTCTTATTGCCCTAAATTATTGTGCTTATTTGCATACAACTATTATGTTTGAATAAACTCCGCAAGCTCCATTTCCAAGGCATGCATGTTGCGTGTCCGTGCGTAGGAGGACAGGTCCCCAGAGACAGGCAGTAGGTGCTTCTTTTGAGGTGGATGCTTCCTGGTACTAGACATACTATATAAAATACTTCTTAATACTTATATTTTAAAAATCACATTGCTAATATATCTAGTAAACAGTACTTTCTGTATGAGGACAAGAATGAGAGATGACTTTTGTATAGGACTAAAAAATCTCATGCCTTTGGAAAGGGAAGCCTCACCGGCACACTGGTGGGATTTGGAAATGTGCCTGAGAGGTGCTGTGACCGGGTTGGGATGAGTGAGCTTCACTGACTGAGATGGCTGCATCTGGGATGTCCTGAACCTGTGAAGTTTGTTGGAGAAGAAAAGATGCTAGCAATTTATTTCCTTCTTTGCCAAATGCTTTTCCATCACGTTGGTAACTGAGGTGCTGTGTGAGACGCTGCCACTTGTGTTGCCAGGGTCCCCTGTCTTCCTGCTGATGGAGGTCTGTGCCCTCCTTTAGCTCCGGGATTGGACTCTATCTTCAATCTAAAGATGTACACTCTTAGCATTGAGATGGAAGTGCGGAAACCTGACTGAACCCTGAGTAGTCACCCTGTAGGCACAGAACACGAGCTTCCTAGACGCTTGAACTTCAGGTCTCCACTCTGCTTCATGCTTGAGTCTTTTGGACTCTCCCCTGTGGGTCTTAACATTTCAGGTGTTAGATATGTCTGAGATCAATTCACTGTTCTTGGGTTTTAATCATTGCTACCTCTTCCTCCCTTAAGGATGGACAAAATATTTAAACTCTTGTGCTTTAATTTCCTATTGGAAGAAAAGGGATAATAGTGAGATAGTATTGGCCTTCTGAAGATGACTAAAAGGCCACATGAATTACAAATGGTTTGGTCACAGGAATTACAAACACATAGTCCAACGTAAATGTTAACCAGTTTCAAAGTGTGTCCTGCCACCTAACCCTGTTTTCGCCGAACTTGCAGAACCGAAGATATATATATCTTTCTATATATATATAGAAAATGAATTCATA